GCTACAAGGTATGTTTCAACATTTAGGCGTTTACTTATGTTTTAAGTATGAAAGAATCTCAACATTCTGTTTCTTCTAACATTCTGGTTTTTTTTTATCAATAACATTCTGTTTTTTATTTACAGCATTCTGTTTTTTTTATATTAAATATATTTATGTTAATTTAATATAGGATGGAGTCCTCTTCTAGTCAAAATGAATTACCTTCAATAAATTCCTCCAATATTGAAGATGAAACGAAACCGTTGTGGCGATATGTGACAAAAAATCAAAGGTTAAATGAGGGAGGTGGAAATATGTCTTGCCAATGTAATTTTTGCCAAGAAATGAAGAAAAGTTCATATACAAGAGTTAGGGCGCACCTTATGAAATTAAATGGTTATGGAATTGGAGTGTGTCGGAAGGTTACCCCAAAAGATCTCACTGAAATGCAAAAGTTGGAAGATGAAGCAAAAATTTATAAGGAAAAGAATGCTTCTAAAAGAGTTCCTTTACCACCTTCATCCCATAGCCAATCTCAATCCTTTGGAGCTACGAGTAGCTATTCCTTTTCAATGGAACATAAGAAAAGAAAAGGTAGTATTAGTGCCCTTGAGAAGTCATTTAAGATGGCAACCCGTGATCAATTGCACTCTGAAATTGCAAGGATGTTTTATTCCTCAGGTTTGCCTTTCCATTTGGCTAGAAATCCACATTATGTGAGTGCATTTATGTTTGCTGCAAACAACCAATTGCCTGGTTATCTACCTTCGCGGTATAATATGTTGAGAACAACACTTCTTCAAAGAGAAAAGGCTAATATTGAGAGATTGTTACAACCTATCAAAAGCACATGGAGTACAAAGGGAGTAAGTATTGTTAGTGATGGATGAAGCGATTCACAGAGAAGACCTTTAATAAACTTTATGGCAATTACTGAAGGAGGACCAATGTTTCTTAAAGCTGTAGATTGCTCTGGAGAGGTTAAAGATAAATATTTCATAGCAAATTTGCTTAAAGAAGTTATAAATGAGGTGGGACATCAAAATATAGTCCAAATAATCACTGACAATGCTCCAAATTGCAAAGCTGCAGGACAGATTATTGAGTCACAGTTTCCAAACATAGTCTGGACACCATGTGTAGTTCACACTTTGAATCTTGCTTTGAAGAATATTTGTGCTGTAAGAAACATTGAAGGTAATGAAGATGTGTTTAATGAGTGTAGTTGGATTTCTGAAGTTTCCGGTGATGTAATGGTTGTGAAGAATTTTATCATGAACCATTCCATGAGGCTTGCTATGTTCAATGAATTTGTCTCTGAAGTTGCTTTCCATTGCAGAAACACGTTTTGCATCCACAATCATTATGCTTAAAAGATTTAAGCTTATTAAGAGCAGTTTGCAAGCTATGGTGATTAGCGATAAATGGGCATGCTATAGAGAAGACGATGTGAGGAAAGCAAAGCATGTGAAAGATTTGGTACTTGATGATATTTGGTGGGATAAGATCAATTATATTCTTTCTTTTACTAGACCCATATATGATATGATCAGAGCGTGTGATACAGACAGACCTTGTCTTCATTTGGTATATGATATGTGGGACACTATGATTGAGAAAGTTAAGGTAGCAATCTACAAACATGAAGGAAAGCATCTGGATGAAGTTTCATCCTTTTATGAGGTAGTGCATCAAATTTTGATTGATCGTTGGAATAAAAATAATACTCCACTGCATTTCTTGGTGCACTCTCTAAATCCAAGGTACTCTAGAACTACATCTTAGATGTGAAGGGATGTGAATCCCGGAGTGGAAACAGATTTTCGTTGCTGATTTTCGGGATACAAAACCGAATTTTACAGAAGAAAAATACAGAGAAAATTTACCTTTGAAGAACGTTTCTTCAACTAGTTTTCCTCGAACACCACCACTATTTCTTCCTCGCTATCCTCTTGGGTCTCGGGATCGTGCTGGTAGGAGCAAAAATTTGGAACGAGAGGGAGAGATTGAGAGAGTTCTTCTTGATAGATAGAAAACGGGTTTTGCGTTCTTCTTCTGTGTTTTGTGTTTTTGCAGAATTGCAAAAACAAAACAGAAGTGGTGACGTGGGGCAACTCCCCACGTCACACTAACCTCCCACTTGCAGGGGAGTTTAATATTATTAATATTGATAATATTAATAATAATATATATATTTATTTATATATAAATAATTAATATATATAACATATATATATAATAATTAAAATATAAAAATTAATTTATTAATTAATCATATTAATTAATGAATAATTATTAATTATTAATCCAATTAATAATTAATATATATATATAAATCAAATAAATAATTAACTCTTAATTATTTATCACAAAAATAGAATCATATTCTATAACATTGATCTCGTATAATCTATAGTTCTAATGTACATCTTATGCACATTATTTTTAACCTATAGTTCTAATATGAATCTTATTCATATTAATTTTATTTGAATCTCATTCAAATAGTTTCTCTCATAATATATAGTTTTAATTCACAATTAACTATATATTAATAATGTATCAATATACATATAATCCCTTAAATAATTTGAACAATTCAAATTATTCCAAAAACTTGATCCTCGTTTTACCCGTTATGAGCTAGCAAGGGGACCTAATGGACCTACAGATCCGAAGCTCCAACGATGCAAGATTAATCGGTCAAACTCATTGACCGAGTTAATCTAGATTCGTTAACTACGGGTCATTCCACTAAAGACCCGCAGTTGCACTCTTCTCACTGCAGAACGTTTTCGTGTCCATGGATATATGACCATTAATGACGAGTCAGTCATTCACGAGTGTTCGTAACTCAAGTTGGGTTAAATTACCGTTTTACCCCTGAGTTACATCTTACTCTTTAAACACCACTGCTCCTCTAATGAACAACCCAGTTATGGTCCAACCAATAACCGGAAGTCCCTCTCGGCCAATGAGAGGGTGGGGCCCCTTGTTCAAGTCCCGGAGTCAGCATTTCAGGGAACACTCATCTACTCCCCTAAAGTCGGGGAGGAGTGAATTCCATCTTGTGAAGTTATGTTCCCAGCTCCCCACTCGGCCTCGTCCCCAAAATGGTAGGAATGTTGAGTCGGCGACTCGGGCCACTCTCACCCATACAGATCAAAGAACGAGTCCTCACAGGCAGGAGTCCATAACTCCCTCAAGATTGAGAATGAGTTGCCTGGTCATCCTAAGAAATGGCAATCTATTAGTTAACGGTGTTACATCTAAATATTGCCTATTTCGCAGTCCGGTCTTATACAAACTCATTGTATAGGATACCCCCCCCCCACTCGCATGTCTCCACACGAACGACCTGGATCGAGTCGTCTGTAACCTTTACAGAGCGGGTCGTATCCATAGTGTTGCCAGGATAAGGTACCCAGCCTTATCCATATACTATAGACCCTTTAGGTTATTCACGGGACATTATCCATTCATATATCAGGGGTATATCAAATTTATACCCCGTATATCAACTATATACCCAGTATATAAACTGTCCCGATTACATCAAAAATAACCTTGGATGTTTAGTTTATTGGATTTTGGACAATGCAAAGCTATGATTCAACAACAAATTTATTGAATAAAACTTTATTAAATAGACATTTGGTTTTACAAAATACAAATTACGAGTTTAGGGTAACACACCCAACAAGATGTTTATTCATTTCTATTCACACTTTAGAGTTTGATATATTTTAAAAATTTTATATAGGTATTATAGTGAACAGTGGCTTCAAGAGGACAAGAATCGAGTGCCGCCACATAAGGATTTTGAGGTAACTCGAGAGAGAATGAAATGCCTTATAATATACTTTAGTTCAAATGAGAAACGCACAAAATTACACTTGCAGTTCGCCAATTTCTCTACCATGGCGGCAGAGTTTGCTGACTGTGATTCTATACGTGAAAGGTATTGTATGGATCCAAAGAGTTGGTGGGCCATCCATGGTGCCTATGCACCAACTTTGCAGGCATTAGCTATGAAGCTACTTGTGCAACCTTCATCTTCCTCGTGTTGTGAGCAGAATTGGAGTACATATTCATTTGTCCATTCTTTGAAGAGGAACAAGATGGCACCTCAACGTGCATAAGACTTGGTGTTTATCCATAGCAATCTTCGTCTTGTATCAAGAAGAACTCCAGAATATGAAAAATGAGAAACAAAATTGTGGGACATCGCTGGAGATTCTTTTGATTCGTTTGAGGATGTAGGCATGCTTGAGATAGCTAGTCTATCTTTGGATGAGCCAGAATTGGAAGCCGTAGTTTTTACTGATGATGGGACTCAAATTGGTGAAGATGGTGCTAACAATGTTGGGGAAAATGTTTTGAAGGCTTTCTTCCATTTTGATTTATAGTTTTTGTTTGTAAGACTTGTTTTATTGGATATTGGATATTGTTTATGACATTGATTATTGCATGAATGTTATGGACCTATGGTATTTATGTTGATGTTTAAAGATAAAAATAGTATTAAATATTGATAATATGATAAAATATACACACATATATATATTAAAAAAATAAATAAATAACATGTCCCCAGCGTGTCGTGTCGTACTTTTTTGGAAATTGACGTGTCACCGTGTCCGTGTCGCGTGTCCGTGTCAGTGCCTCTTAGCCTACAAGCAATTTAAACGCACAATCTCACTATTACGCATAGAATTACCAAAGTAATTACTAGAATAACTCTCTTTCAAAGAGTTATCAATAACAACTTAATGTTCTTTTGAACTACAAAAAGAGTCTGCAAAGCAATAAAATAATACTAAAGATGTATGAGAAAACATCTAGTGACTTGGGCTGGAGCAATATTATAACGCCCCCAAATGTCAAACCACTCAAATGGGACACGTTACTGAAACATCTTAATCAACTCAACACAATGAATAGAATAACTACATTTTATTCCATGACCTCAACTAAGCAACCTTACTAAGTTTCATAAATTAGCAACTGAACAACTCTTATCAACGAAGTCAACACTAGTTTTATTTCTCCTTGAAACAGCACAACGATAGCTACCTTCCATAAATTTCAACTTCCACAATCCGAACAGATAACCAAAACTATAGTTCTCAAAGAATAATAAATTCCCAACTCTAAATCATTCCTTAAATAGAAAACTAAACAGTTAACAAAACATCAAACTCAAGCTAAACGAAACAACTCCAACTATCCTATTCAACATGAAAATTAATAACGCAGTGCTATGGTCTCTTTCCGTCAAATCTCCTCCTCACCATCACCATTCCCGTGCGTTACCTCATTAACTGCAGAACCTAGGGAAAAAGGAAGGGGGTGAGTACAAAACTAGTACTCAGTAAGCAGCCTTTACCTGAAGAGTCACGCACAATCAACATGCTTTACAAGGATTTCAAACGATATGCTTGACAAGTCATCATGCTTTATTTAATATAGACTGAATTAAACATGAAGTCTACATGCCAAAACTCAATCCTCACATCACGACTCACTCATTCTCTCTCATATTCCTCCCAGGCTTACTCCTTCAAGTCGTACCGACCCTTGACCATCTATTCAGAGCCTTGACACTTCTCTATGGTGTTTGGCATTCAATCCCTAACCTTTACCCGAGGCCTCAAACTGTTGCATCGACCCTTGACCATCTATTCAAGGCCTCAATGACTTTGCAACATATTGATCCTTGTCCTTTACCCTCAAGGCCCCAATACTTGCCTTCCCTCTAGGATTCATCGCATCGACCCTTGACCATTTATTCGAAGCCTCGACACTCACCTTTGTCCAGAGTTGACGTATCGACTCCCGACCATCTATTCGAAGCCTCGATACCCAACTAGTGACGTGTCAGCCATCTAGCCCTGACACTTACCCATTCACTTCAAAACATAACCAACTCTCACCAGAGTCCTACTATATGCTTTCTTAAGCCATGACCCATGCATCATTCAGTTCACAAATACAATTTAGCATGCTTCCACAACATAAACAACATTCTAACAATGAAACAATATGCCAAACATCCTTTCACAACATATCAATTTTCACAACAACTCAAGATGCTTTATGGACATGACATTACACTAATACAACTATCAATAATCCATAAATACATCCAACACACCAAGAGTGAGTCAATAATTCCAATATGTTATCCCAACATAATAATTCTTAACAGCAGCTCCACAGTGAGTTTAGTCATAACAGAGCATAGTCACACCAATTTTAACCATTAAAGCCCAACACCGTTCATCCGGAGCACTTAATATACAACATTCGTATAAAAACATCCCACATCGATATTCAATAAGCATTGCTAGATATAGGAAAACACATAAAACATGCCACGCAATTCATGCATATTCAAACCACAAACATCCCCACAAGTAATAACTACTTACCCCAAGAAACCTAACGTTCCTAAGCTTCGCCGAAAGGTTTCCTAAAACAAAGATACCAAGCTTTTGGGTTAGAAACTACCTAAAACCACTTTAATCGAATCAAAACTAAATTTAGGTGAGTCGTTACCTACTAACTCACACTAAAACCTCTTGGAATAGGAGTGGGTCAACGCCGAGGAGGTTCGGGCTCCCAAAACTGAGTTCGAATGACCTTAGGCTTGCCGGTCCGATGCCGAAAAGTGATGAGTAACACCGATTTGGGTCCGAATAAGAGTTGGCAACGTTGAATCAATGCCAATGGGGGTGGGTAACTCAAATCAAGCTTCGTTTTGGTGTGGGTACGCATCGAAACCTGTCGAAAACCTAACAAATTGCTGCTGGCCGTGGGTTGCTGTAGAACTCATCGGAAACACATCGGCAACGCTGCAGACACACGCTTATAATTGTAGACGAGCCACCAGAGGAAAGCACCGCCACTAAAACACTGTGGGAGCGTTGGGTCTGCTCGATTCTTACTGCTGCAGGTCTGCCGTCCACTGCAGAACACGCTCCCAGAGGATAAGAAATTGTGTGACCTGCTGTGTGTGCCGCCGCGTCGAAATACGTCGAAAATCCAATCGCCATTGCTACTCGAGATGGCCTGCCGTCGCGCCGGAAGTCGTCGTGTCGTGGGTCGTGTGGTCGCCACCTTGGGGAGACCGTCGCCGTCGTCAGAGGTCACCGTAAAACTGAAGGGGAAGGGGGTGGTGGCTAGGGCAACAAGGGAGAAGGAAAAGGAGAAGATGAAACCCTATTTTGATTTTCTTTCATTTTCTGTTTTCTTTTCTTCTTATTTACCAAAATAAAACAATATTATTAAACCAAAATATGGCTAATGACCTTAAATAAGAGAGATTTTTCCCTAATCCTTCTTTTTTAACAAGGAGACCCACTTTAAAACGATTTGAAAAATTTATTTGAGAGATTACTTTAATTTGAAAACCCAATAATAAAAATCAAACGGGAAAATTAAATTTTTAAAATCTTAAATTAAGATTTAAATAAAATCTCTTTCTAAAATTCAAAAACTTAATTTATCTTAACTAACGGAAGTTAAACTTTAAATTCTAATTTATCCAAAATTAGAACTCCAAAATTATAAGATCCAAGAATTAAAATTATCACCTTAGGAGAAAAATCCAAAGGCCCATATTAAAACTTAAAATAGAACTAAATTGAGAACGCGGGGCGTTACAAATATTTACCTCGGCTAAGAATAATTGGAAGAAAGGTGAAAAGGTAACATAATCCATATCAAACATCGTGGAGTATAAGCTAACAAACCTCGTAGGAGGATTTTATAAAGTCTCCTGCCACAGACAACCTAAGTTTCAAATTCTCCAGGATGAAGTACCTACGCTAGAGAAAAAGGAGCATAGCCTCGAGGCATTTCAAAGGACAACTAGGGTTACCTCGCCTAAAGGTCTCCTTTATCTTCTTCAAAGCGACCCAAGGGAATAATTATCTCATCCCTCTGTTGGATGACTAAGCTATATAGCACATTGATTTTCCATAGGTTGAACCAACTCAACCTGAGCCCTAGGGGAAGACAATCAATCTATATCCATCTATCTATTTAAATAAAAGTTACTAAATAAAAAATAACTAACCTAATGTTGCGGGCCAAGTAAATGATGAGGAAAAAATATAGATCAATCGATCTTTCTGTAAGTTTTTCAAAGAGGAACTATTTGATATTTCCTTTCCGTTGGTTACAAGCAGATAAGTAATTAACAATAACAAATGAATAAGATATATGGATAGAAAAACTTAACACCACATGGATTATATTGGTTTGTCCCAATTTTTGGACAATTTCCAGTCTTTTGCAAAAGTAGGTTCTACTCTAGTTTGGAATATTAAATGATGATCTCATTCAAGATATCACTATACAATGACTATCTTGATTCTAAGTACCCTAACAATTGCTACCTAATATTACATAATTGAAAACACCCTCACTAAACCCACGAGATACAGACTCCTTTAATTTTCACATACTGCCCACAATTGCTCAAGTCTCTTTTATTTGGATTATATACCAATAAAACTTAACAAAAGGACCCTATTTATAGTAAGTCAAATATCCTAATCTTTTTAGGAAAATAATAGGATAATTCTTATAAGAAAACAATATCCTACTCCTGGTAGAATTTCGTAGTAGTGCTGAAAATCCTTCTCCTCGTAAGACACAGGTGATCTGTTTTGGCTCAATTATCCCAATAGTAAACACGTCGATGCAAAAGAAAAAAATTTAGAATTTCGAGGATGTGAATTCTTAAAAATGATGATCGTTATATATAGACATTGATGAATGGATCGACCCCATCAAATTCAAGTGGCAACCAATTACTAAGATCAGAGAAGCCCAAACAATGTCGCTCGAGTACGCTGTGCCTATCAAATCGACGTTTCAATTTTTGCGACACCTAATGTGATCTATAGGGTTTACGTCATACATCACAACTTGGAAGAATGATCGATCTCCTAGTTTCAGAGCTATCCTTTGACAAGCCAATCTTTGGACGTACTAAAGTTAGAGCTAATGTCGTGGACAACGAGACGACATTCCACGTGGCAACATATTACAGGTCGAAAATGCCATGTCATCATTATATTTCGAGTACAATTCTCTAGCTAATGAGTTCCACATGTAATAATAACTAAACTTGAAAAAAAAAGTCTCTTCCGTTTTCGAGCTGAGGAATATAGGTCATTGGATCCGACCTTCCTAAAGGTTGAACTAACCTATGCAATGTGTATTCCTCAACCTTCTTAAAGTTCAATCAGAAGCACGTCAGATCGCGCCTAACAGCCATTTAATTTCTTTTCTAAGAACATCCTTCAGATGATGGGACGGCTATAACCGTTGGGTAAGTGAGACCCATTTGTGTTTTCCTATAAATAGAGGGATCCACTCTGCATATCAAGTATGAGACTCTATTCCACATCTTGAGAGCTATATATAACTTGAGAGCGTCTCAGAGCTTCTTATTCTCTTTTTGACGATTCCGAGTTTATGTTAGCCTATTGTTCGAGAATCGTTAGACGATCCAAATCATGCACAAACAGGTGTTCTATGATCTAACCAAACAACTTGAAGTGTTGCAAAGGTTTGATATCTTGATTTCCCTAGAAATGAAAGTAAAGAATTTCATTTTGTGGGATCTCATATTTGTTTGAAGAGGTTTGTTCATTTCCACTTAAAACCATTCCATTTAAGGCTTTTGAGGTTTTAACTTTATTGGTAATTTCTTTTGTGATCCTGTAATGGTGTCATTGGTAGAATATATTTTGCTATACGATCTCTCTTAATACGTTTTTCATTAAACTTATATGGATATTAGTGATCACGTGGAGTTTGATTAAAGTCTTTTGATCCAAATAATCTCCTTCGAAATACTTTTATGTGAAAGAGTTCCAACTCCTCGATGCCTTCTTAGGTTTTTATGCATGTATGAATATAAATGATTGAGTCTAGAGTTTGTACTTAGAACTTTAGAAACCATTCATTTGTAACCGATCTAAAACATTTCCAATGTTTTTTTCCCAAATACTACCAATCGGTTAACCACTCATTGTTGACAACAAATAGTTAATTCATGCAASCTTAATGAGTAGAGTAATTGAAGAAAAGTACTCGAAAAATAAAAAATAACTGACTAAAGAAACTTTAAGTATACATATTACTGCATCATATCGCTCACTTAATTGTTCGAAACTGGAGCTTTATAGCACACCCCACATGACTAAACACGCTAATTGAAATCTCAAATATTCACGCTAATTGAAGATTGTAAATTCGTTTGAGCATAGCTTGCCAAAGATGTTTATAGAGTACATGTTCTTCTCTTAATTCACTGGTTCAAACATAAAGAAGCATAGGAAAAACTTCCGAGGTTAAAATTAACGCGATCGAGATGTTTACTAGATTAGAAGGGGAGCCTTAACTGTCATTATGCAATAGTTCAAATACTATATAACTTGGAATGGTACTTTAAGCTTGCATCTCTCCAAACACGTTAATCAAATCGAGTCAGATTATCCCTTTAATTTTCTGTAGGGGTCTCGGATACGATATTATGTATGTTTGTGTTTTGCTTTTACATGTCCAAGTTAAGACATCTTAGCCTAGTTCCACGCAAAGTGCACGATTGATGCTTCTTAAATTAGATTGACTCAACGAGTCTTGATATCTTGTTACATTCACTAGATGACTTTTGAGTTATGTACTTAGCATCGTGACAAACCAACAATCTAACCCTATAAACAATTTATTGACTCTCAAATTTTCTTATTAATTGGATCGTTAGAATTATTTTAGGCAGCATGATACTCGTGTTTTCCTAATGTTAAGATTCCTTCTTCTTTAGTGTACCATCGATATGACAGTATATTTTAATAATTTATATATAATTAACACATAATATAAATACAAATAAAGAAAAAGAATTGAAAACTTGGGAGGACTTAGTACCATATGGGAAACACCTTTACCTTACATTTATATACTCGAGGCTTTCAATTAGATTCTTGCTTTTAATATCTAATCATAAATTGATCTTTCTAAAAGGCAACTAAGTTTCAAACTTTTTTGTTGTCGAATAAAAATAAGGTTAAAAATCACAAGTTTAATGAATATGCAATATCGATTCATCAACTGTTTGGAAAATTTGATTCATAGGCTTGAACTGCCACCCAAGTTGGATTGAAGGCAATATGAATTAATTATACATATTTTCTCTCTTTTTTTTTCTTTCTTTTACTTTTAAAAAATATATGTTTAACTTGTTATTTTGAAATATAATCATTGCTCAACTTGCATGTTACTACTTGTGCAATAGGTAAATAAGAAATTAAGAATATGGCAAATTTTAATATATATATATAAAGTTTCAATCCCATTCTAGAATTTTGTTCTTTTATTTGTAGTTCTAATATTTCTTTTCAAAAAAAAATTATTAATTTTGTAATTAATAGATTATTTAACAAAAACATGATATACACACCTTGTCTTTTGTCCATATTTACCTTGACCAATAGATGCATGGATAAACCAATGGTTGAAGATATATATGTGGTAGATTAGACGTTCAAAGTTTCCAAATGAATATGGTGTTTGTCACGCGGTTTATCATAAATTTAATGGGGACGGAATAAAGTTTTGGGTATTTGTGACGAGTAGCTAAATTTTTTTGCAATATTTGTAAAATGACCAACCCTTTTGAATTTTGTAATAAATATGGAAAGATATTTGAATTCTAATTTTCACATTTTTTTTATTCCAATTTTATCCTTATAAGTTGAATATCGATAACATCAAGTATATCAATTATATTAGGTATATAAACTAGTGATATATCTTGATATATTTCATAGTATATATGTTGATATACCATATTTGATAGTTATATTGGTGATATATCATATTAGGTATATCGATTATAACTAATGTGCATTGATGTGTTACATACTAAGTAAACAAGTTAACTAATATACTTGGTATGCGTAGCACATAAAGGTATATCAGTTATAAGTAATAAACTTAGTATGCAATACATTACGGTATGTCGACTATAATTTATTTATCTTATATAAACCTATATCACGTCCAGATAGTAAATCATTATTACTAATATACCATTTATATAAATCAAAGTTACAACTTATTTACCTTATACAAAGTATATAAGTATACTTTGTATAAGCTATATCAATGATAACATTGTATATTGGTATACCTTGTTTAGTTACAAAATTTGTGTAGTCT